ACCTGCAAAGACAAACTTGGTTTGACCTTCTTTCAGAGAGAGCTGTTTGTTTTCTTGGTGGTCCATGATTCTTTTCCACGTCAAGACTCTTCTCCAGCACCACAACTCAAAGGTGTCAATTCTTCTCTGTTATCCTTAATCGTTGTCCAGATATCTAAGTGACTAGGTTATATAATTAGTATAATAAATGGATTCACAATTCTTTGAGTGCTATTTACAAACTTTGAGCTCTCTTGATGGTGGGCATGGTCATATAAGGTCAACTGATAAATGCTGATAGCTGGCTATCCTTAGCTTAGGAGCATTAAGAAAGAAACACTACTTCTTTAAAGAGAAAACTCTAGGCCAGCAGCCAAGACATCTGCATTCTGAGTCTAGTTTAATAATGATTCAGAGGTATTTATGAGTCAAGTCAGCCCACTTCTTTGGATCTCAGTTAGGACTGAGCACACGTTGTCAGAACCAGGTGTTATCCTAAAAATGACATAGATTAGAAAGGCATGAAGAGCATCATAAGTGTGAACTCTCCTTATGAAGACCGCACTCAAAAGATGTTGGCTCCCCTTCCAAGTGTTCTGTTTTGTTTGTTGGTTTTTTTTAAATTAAAAAAAAAGTTTACACCAAATTGTGTGGATATTGTTGTTAGGTGACATCAAGTCAACTCTGGTTCGTGGTGACCTTATGAACAACAAATCTGAATACGGCCCTACCCCACATCATCTTCATCATCTCGGATATCCTCAAAGCCATTGTTATAGTCACTGTGTCAATTCATCTTGTTGAGGGTCTTCTCTTTCTCTGACCCTCCATCTTATCCAGGATGGTGTCTTTCTTCAAGCACTCTGGAGAAATAACACATGAAAAATATGTGAAATGAAGTCTCATCAACTTTGCCTCTAAGGACCAACCTGGTTGCATTTCCTACAAGACGAATTTGTTTGTCCATACCATATTCGGTACTCTTCTCCAACATCACAATTCTTTTTTTGTTATCCTTATTCATTGTCCAACTTTCAGAAATGTAGAAAACCTCTGAAAATGCCATGGCTTGGATCAGGTACACCTTAGTTTTTAAACTGGCTCTCTAACACTTTGGAGAAGTCCTTTGACAGCAGATTTTCTCAATGCAATCCACCTTTTCATTTCTTAACTATTTACAGGGCAGTGAATGTATGTTTGATACTGTTTCATCAGCTCTTTTCAAGTTTATCCTGGAAGTTGTCTTCTAAGATAATTTAAACAAGCTGAGGTGTGACTTTTACTTTTGGGGATCTCACCGAATGAAGGCTGACCTCTCTGAAGGCTGTACTCCACCACATCAGCAGCTCCTTTCCCCCTTAATCTCCTGTGCTACTGGAAAATCAAACTGTTAGAACTCCAGGCCGTCAGACTAAACCAAACCACGCCTGTTGCTGTCTGGTTGATCCAGACTCATGCCAACCTCCTGTGACTAGTCTATAGGGTTTTCATGCCAACCTCGAACTAGTCTATAGGGTTTTCATGTTCGCTGTCTTTATGAAAGATTTCCAGAAGTTTTTTTTTCCTATCAAGACACTAGGCGTATTCAAATTACCAAACTTTAGATTCATTGCTGTTGGGTGCCACTGAGTCAAGTAACCCTATGAACTCTGAACCCTGTCCTATTCTATGTCATCCTCCTCATCTCTGACATACTTGAGCCCATTGTTGTAGTTATGTGTCAGTCCGTCTGATTGAGGGTCTTCCTCTCTTTTATGGACCCTCCACCTTTCCAAGCATGATGTCCCTGTCCAAGGACTAGCCCCTCCTAACACCGTGCCCAAAGCATGTAAGATGAAGCTTTGCCATCCCTGCCTTAAGCAGAACCCTGCATGCTCTTTCTTTAAGACATATCTGCTTGGTTTTATGCCACTCCGTGGTTATCCAATGCTATTCTCCAAAACCGTAACCCAAATTATTGATTCTTCTTCTATCATCCTTATTCATTGTCCAGCTCTCAGATACATAGCAAGTGATTAAAAAGACCATGACCTGAATCAGGCATCCTTTAGTCTTTAAATTGACATTATCACTCCTTGGTACCTTGACAGGAGACTTACTCAGGAGACTTGGTACCTTGACAAGAAACTTACTCAATGCAAAACAGCCTTTGATATCTTGACTGCTAGTACCAAAGGTGTTTATTGTGAATCCAAGAAAGATGAAATTATTGACAATTTTAATTTCTTTCTCCTTCTATAATGATGTTGTTTATTGAGCCACTGGTGAGTATTTTAGTTTTCTTGCTGTTGAGACATAATCCTTATTTAAGGTGCGTTAATAAGTGTTCCTCCAATTCAGATATCACAAGCTTTTTCATCAAATCCAGTTTCTCAAATGATTTGTTCAGCATATGAATTCGACAGGTTTGAAGATAAGATACAATCCTCACTCACATCTAAGCTAGTTGTCCAGTACAAAACATGTTGCTCCACATGGAACCTTCCATAAAAACCACAGATTCTAGATATGTCCAGGTTCCTCTTTGGAGATCAAGGAATCAAATAATAACACACACACACAAAAATCTAACCTGTTGCAGTAGCCCCAGAAAAGGTAGAACATGACTTCTAAAGCCATTGGATTTAACAGTAAGAGAAAACCAGTGTTAGGACTCTTTTTCTCAGATATTTTTAATAAAATTTTTGTTATTTTAATGAAAGTTTACAGAAAAATTGTCTTTTCCTTCATTCATTCTTCCACACTTAACCCCCTCTTCTCTCTCTTCCCCTTCCCCCAGTTTTCTTTTTTTTTTAACATTCATTCATTGTTGTACAGTTACCTCCCTCTCCCCCATCCACCCAGTCCTCTTTGCAATGTACCTCTCATTCTGAGCTCTTGTCATATATATAATGTCTAATCATATATTCCTTTTGAACAATTCTTTCCTTCGTATGTTCCAATGCAATGGTCATTATCTACCCAGTCTTATCTTATTCTCCTCCCAACCCCTTATGTCAGACCTGCTTTATGACACTGATGTTATACAATATTTTGCGTTTTGTGACTTATATATCTCAGAATAATGTCTTTCAGGGTCATTCATGCAGTGTAATGTTTTGCAGATTCATTGTTTTTCAGTGTTGCATAGTATTCCATTGTTATTTCCTAGTTTTTTCTATCCAATTGTTTGTTGATGGGCACTTGGGTCACTTTCATCTCATTGCTATTGTGAACAACACAGCAATAAACATAGCTGTGCGCATATCTGTTTGGATGGAGGCTCTTGTTTCTTTCAGGTGTATTCCCTGTAGTGGCATTGCTGGACCAGATGGTATTTCTATTTGCAACTTTTTGAGAAAGCTCCAAAACTCCTTCCATAGTGGATGCACCACTTTGCACTCCCACCGGCAGTGAATAAGGGCTCAAATCTCTCCACAACCTTGCCAGCATTTATTGTTTGGTGTTTTGTTGAACTTTGCTATTGTTGCTGGGAGATTTTTTTTCCTCTTGACTTAGGTTCTTATCTGTAATGATACCACTGGCCCTCAGTCTGCACCAATCATCCTAAATTACTTCAGTCTGCCTTTTTACCATTGACTCTCTTTCTTCTAAATTGTCATTAATGTTTTACTTCTGAACACTAATAGAAATGGTAAAAGGTTTTTTGTGGGACAGGTTTTGCTGAATCCAACCATTAGCAACCAGTGTCTATAGAGTGTTTGCTACAAACAGATCTGAAAATGGTGTTCAGAAAGATGTGATCTCTTTTTCAGGTGTATATTTTATTTCCTGAGAAATAAAATATACACCTGAAAAAGTAAATTTAGAATATAGATCAATATGTAGTGGATTCCAAGAGGATAATACAAAAGTAACTTCTGCAAGGGTGCTCTGGTGGCCTAGCGGCAAAAAGCTGCACTGCAGTCCAGAAGGCGCACAGTTCAAATCCACCAGATGCTCTACTAAAGGAGGGGCAACCTCCTCCTGTACCAGTCGGATCTGATTCAACGGCACACAACAACAATAACAACAAAAATAACTTCTGAAAAGATGGAGACCTATGGATCAGATAAAGAAGTGTATTTTGGAAACAGGAGATCTTGCAATGTCTCTGCTTTATAGTCAATGCAGGAGATTCAGCAAACCAGACTCACATGGGACATTTCATGGGGCAGAGCCTTTTAGAAGATCAGGACTTGCCAGGCCTCTACAGCTGCCATTTCTTCTCTAGAGTCCTCACCTATACCTCATTCCCCTAGTCCCCTTTCTTACCTGGCTTTTGTGGATATTTTTAGTTCAATATTATATTGTTGTGAGGAAAGATCATTCATTGTAGGATGGCTAAGTTCTTGTGGACAGGTGGGGATTTTCAGTCGAGATAGGACTACAGCAGTCAGGAGATGACTTGAAAAATTGTGTTTAGAGACCAAGAAAATAAGTTTATGTCCAGACTAACTGGTTGAGCTAGGAGTCCTCCTTTTGAGAAGTGAGTGGTTAAGAAGAAAGGAAATACAGATTGGAAGAAAATAGAAATTTGAATCTTATCATGTTAACAACAAGGGTTTTCTGAAAGGGTTTGGTTTGGTTTGGTTTGGTTTGGTTTGGTTTGGTTTGGTTTGGTTTGGTTTGGTTTGGTTTGGTTCTGTTTCGATTGAGACCAAGTGTAGCCTGAGGGAAATATTTTTTAGGGGAAATGGGCTGGTAGTGGTATAAAAAAGGCTGAATAGAAAAAGTGAAGGGCTGAATGGTGAGGGTAGAGATGTAAGAACCCATGGTTAAAAGCAAGGGAAGTCTGAGCCCCACTGGAAGTAGCAGGAATAGAGAGATATTGATGGGAAGCACTGAAAGAAAAGAGACATGAGACATGGTAACTGATGAACATGCAGGGTTGAGGGACAGTAATGATAAGAATAACAACCTGAAATCCTAGGCTTGCATGAGAGGTCAATGTGCTGTATACAAGACTGCAGGAAAGATGTAGCATCCTTTGTCATCTATGTCTTTGGGGGAAGCCCTCACCCACGGCCTTTCTCTCCTAGGAAAAAGATGTGACTCCAGATAAAAGCCTACTGAGCAAGGTGCGGGATGCTGCCCTGTGGCTGGAGACCCTATCGAACACCAGGCCTGCCAAATCTTCCCTCTCCACCACCTCTTCCATAGCAGACTTCTTCCTAGCCCTGACCATCTGCAACTCTGTCATGGTGTCCACAACCACTGAGCCCAGGCAGAGGGTAAGGACTGGTGATGGGAGGGGAGGGGTGGAGAGAAAGGGAGGCAGGCAAGTGGTTGGAGGTACGGGGGAGAGGGGAGGAATTCTGTACAGAGAGATTAGATACCCGTGTCCTAGCAGGTGTCACCATTTCCACCCTGGGAAATCTTAAACAAATCTCCGATCCCTTCTGGATATCAGATTATTTTTAATCAAAATTAATAAAAGTATATATGCACTCTCCATGGAGCTTCCAAAATTTGTGTCCAACCTGTCAGCAAAGAAAGTTATTGTTTCCTGCACACTTAATCTATGCCAAACATCATGCCTAATATTATAATATATATTTAATCATCACAAGCGAACAACCCTATGACTTACAAAATGACTTACAAAAGGTTGTACATGGTTGGTACATGGTGAAACCACTGTATGACTCAATTATCAGTCCATACAGTCACTGCTGTGGAGTTAAATCAGCTGAGTCTCCCATGGGTTTTCAAGAGGGTATAAATTGCACAGGAGGAGGTTGACATCTTTCTCACTCAAAGTCACTGGTAGATTCAAACAGAGAAGCAACACCTTTGGGCTAGCAACTCCCTGTGCACTATGCCACCAGAGCTCTCTGACTCACTAAAGGCTCATAATAACATCATGAATACTGGCCTCTGCCTTCACATGTCATTGTTGAACTTAGTTTTCACTGAGTAAATCCCACATTCATGGTGACTTCATACACAAAGGAAAAAACGCTGCCTGATCCCATACCATCCTCATAATCAGACCGTTGTGATTCACAGAGTTTTCATTAGCTGATTTGCAGAAGTAGATTGCCAGGCTTTTCTACTTTGTTAGTCCTGATATTCGAGCTCTGCTGGGACCTTCTCCACCTCATGACAAACCACTGGTTTCCATGTGGAACACTGGGGTTCGATTCTCAGACAATGCACCTCATGAACAACCATGATCTGTCTGCCAACCCGTAACTGACCCTCTGGTGGGTTTTCAGAGGCGGTTAATCACATGGGAGGAGATTGCCCATCCTTCTCCCATGGAGCAGTTGATGCCCTCAAACTGCGTACCTTTGGGATTGTAGTGCAACTTCTTTGCCACTAAGCCACCAGAACTTCCTACTGGAGAATAGTTGGTTGTAGAACCTGTATCTATGCCAGAATCCATGAAACCAAGAAAAGAAAGTTCACTCAAGCATCAGATCAGAAACATTCCCCATTAAGTTCATATTTCAACTCACCCACAGGTATTGAAAGTCTTCAGGAGGCTTTGGGAGAAAAGCATTAGCTGAGAAATTAAGTATCTTTCTGAGACAGAAAGAAGAAACATTCTGGGAGAATCAAGACCTAACTCTCAATCTTCAAGTTAATATGGGGAGGGGGCTTAGCTGGCAGGTGGGGCAGTGTTAATGGAGTCCAATCTCTGGGGTCAAGCAGTCTAGATTTGAGTTCTAGCTCCATCGTATGCACACTGTGACAGTGACCAATTTACTAAACTTCTATGCACATACGTTTCCTCATTTATAAACTGGGATGACCTGAGCTTAGCCCAGAAAGTGGCTAAAAACTGCACACAAAAATAAAGCAGATGAGTGATTATGGTCTAGGTTTGGGGAAATGGGAGCTCTTTCTTAGCATCTGCCTTTTTGTCTTTTCTTTCTCTGTAATATGAATGGAATGATCAAAAGACAGAGAAAATGAGCCTTGACGACTCCTGGGGATGAGAGCTGAAAAGAAACACCAACCCTAACCTCACCTCTTCAGGTCACAGAAGGGTAAAGTGAGGCACACTGAGGCAAAAAGACTTACTCAAAATTACCAACATCACAGATGTCATTTTTGGGTACCATTAAGCCAAGTACAACTAATAACAACCCTTCTAAAAGCAGATCTGAACCCTGCCCTAAAGTGTGTCTTCACACTTTATCATCTCTGACATACTTGAGCCCATTGCTGCAGTCGCTATGTTAATCCATCTTCTTAAGGGTCTTCCTCTCTTTCACTAACCCTCCATCTTTCTAAGCATGGTGTTCCTTTCAAAGGAATAGCCCTTCCTAACAAATGTGAGTATGTGAGATGAAGCGTCATCATCTTTGCTCCAAAAGCACTCTGGCTGCACTTTCTCCAAGGCGTATCTGCTCATTCTTTTAGCAGTCCATAGGCTATTCAGTATTCTAACACCACAACTCAAAGGCATTGATTCTTCTTCTGTAATCCTTACTCATTGTCCAATTCTCAGATACATAGCAAGTGATTGACAAGACCATGACCTGAGTCAGGTTTTCATGTCCTACCATTGTTATTGTTGCTATGTGCCATCAAGCCACTTGCAACTTATGTACAACAGCTCTGAGCCCTGCTTTATGCGGAGCCAACCTTATTGTCTCTGACACACCTACCCCCATTACCCTACTCACTGGGTCAATCCATCTCATCTAAGGTCTTCCTCTCTTGTGCTGTCCTTCCACCCTCCCAAGCATGATGTCCCTCTCCAAAGGACAACATACCCTAAGTATGTCAGACAAAGTTTCAGAATTTGCCTCCAAGGAGCAGACTGGATTCGCCCTCTCTAGGACAAACCTGATTGTTCTCCTTGCATTCCATGGTATATGCAATACTCTTCTTTAGCACCACAGAGGAAAAAAGCATCAATTATCCTTCTATCATCCCTAGTCATTGTCCAGCTTTCTAATCATAGCAAGTAATTGTGAAGACTATGGCCTAGATCAGGTACATCTTAGTCTCCGGACTGACATCATTTCTCTTCAGTACTCTGGAGAGGTCCCTGACAGCAGACTTTCCCAATGCAATTTGTCATTTGATTTCTGGGCTACTGGTACCAAGAGTATTGATTGTGGAGTCAAGCAAACTAAAGCTGTTAACAATCTCAATCTAGACAACTGAATTTTTTTTTTCAGGTTCTCATCTCCTTCTATGTTGTTGTTGTTGTTGTTATGTGCCGTCTATAGATAATTTAATACTAATATTAACGGTATTGCTCTAGAACGATCTCATGGCATAGTCCATAGGAATTACACTACTAACTCAAAGGTCACTCCTCTCTGGTGATTCAAATCCAAGGGAGGAAAAATAGACAATCTCCTCTTATGGGATTTAGAGCCCTGAAAACCCAGTGGGAATTTGACTCCACTAAGAGTCAGTTACAGCTCAACAGCAATGAGCGAGTGGATGAATGATAACCTTTGACATTTCTTCCTTCACTCAAGGTGACCATCCCATCCTCTCCGAAAGCTCTGGGGATGTCTCTGGAGAAGATTCAACAACTGTTCCAGAGGCTGAAGCTCTTGAGCCTCAGCCAGTCGTTCTCATCCACAGCACCCTCTGACACAGACCTTGAGGAGAGTTTGGGGACCAACTTACCCACTACAGACTCAGAAGAGAGAGATGACACGTCTGTGTGTAGTGGAGGTTACTCCACTGATGGTGGCTACAGGAGCAGTGCCTGGGACCAGGGTGACATCCAAGGCTCTAGAGAGGGCCTGGCACAGGAGGACATCCTTGGGAGCCCAGTCCTGGGCCTGACTGATCCGGAGCTCTGTTACGAGGCTGAGAGTCCTGACGAGGCAGCCCTGGTACATGCCGCTCATGCCTACAGCTTCACACTGGTGTCCCGCACCCCAGAGCAGGTGACCGTGCGCCTGCCTCAGGGCACCTGCCTCACCTTCGACCTCCTCTATACCCTGGGCTTCGACTCTGTCAGGAAAAGGATGTCTGTGGTTGTGAGGCACCCACTGACTGGCGAGATCATAGTCTATACCAAGGGAGCTGACTCTGCCATCATGGACCTACTGGAAGACCCAGCCTGTGGTAAGTCCCCCTTCACAATGAGACAACAAAAACAGAGGCTTCAGTGTTTAAAAGGCAGTATAGAGAGAGTGGTAACGAGTGGCAATTAACCCAGAGGATAGCACCACCTGGTCAGCCGGCCTACAAGATGCTTTCCTCAAAGTGGCTTCTATAGACAAACGAACTCATGCCATTCAGCACCTCCTCACTTTGGGGAACCCTAATCAGTACAAATGAGCATATCAAAGGCTCTGGGCAAGTCTTCAAGTAGAGAAATCTTTTCGTTCACCCAAGTTTCTAGAAACATCTCAATACAGGGATCTATCCTCATGTAATTTTTTGTGGCAGTGCATCTATTATAATAATGGGCTTGAGTGTATGGATGGCATGGGATAGGACGGTTGTCAGGGTGTTCATAGGGTCGCCATGAGTCATGCATGACTCAACAGCACCTGACAGCAACAATACCAGAGGTGAGACTTGAGCTGTGTGAAAGGTTGCTGTGCTCGGGTATTAACAGAAATGGAGTTTGGAGTCCATTTAGAAATACTTTGAAAGAAATGCCTGGTGAGCTACTTCTAAGCTCTTAAACACCCTGTGGAGCACACAGCTCTACTCTGACACTGTGCCAGCACCATGCACTCGATTTTTCTTTATTCTCTCCCAAAAAAACCAACTAAGACCCATAAAGAGTAGTAGCTTAGGAAGAGTGGACACTGGTGGCAGAGCTCAGGCCCAAGCATTCTACATCCCAATTCAGAGCGCTTTGCATGGTGCTGGAATTTTGAACCAGACTCAGTTCACTCCGGAAAGCTTCAGGTGTCTCTCTTATCGTCCTTTCCCCTAGCCTTCACAAAAGCATATTTTCATAAACTTGCGCTGAGCCAGAAAAGTGTTCCAAAGTCCCTACATATCAGTGTCCAATTTGGGAGCAACATGAATTAGTGTGCAGCCGTTTCCTGACTGCTAACAAGGAGAAGACAGTTATGGGGCTATGATTCTCCCAGGATGGTAGATTCTAGCCAAGCTTCAGAATTGCCCAGGCAGCCCTGTGCCCTCCTGCATTATCAGCTGTGGATCAGCGCCAAAGGATTCATGGGGATTGATGAGTGTTTAGAATGGGAAGGGAGCTAATTAGGCCTCTTCATCCCCAGACTCTGGCAGACAAGCAAATTCAGCGCTTCTGAGTCGAGGGAGCCATGGTGCTCTCTCCCTGGGCAGCAGCCATCTAAGCTGCCCTGGAGATGTCTCTTTATTTGCTCCCTGCTAGATTCCAAACCAGGGAGAGAGGCTTCCAATAAAAGGCACATATTCAATGTTATAAGGCACACAGTTCTAATCTACCAGCTGCTCAGTGGAAGAAGGATGGGCATCTCCTACCATGTGATTTACAGCCTCTGAAAATCCGTTGGTGGGTCAGCTAGGGGTCAGGTCCAACTCGATGGTATTCAACAACAACATCAAAATTCATTGCTGTAAGAACTAAAATCAGGCTTTGAAAAGGAGAGAAAAATAACCCAGTTTACTGAGTTCAAACATTCATTCTGATGCTGAGGTTCGTGGCAGCCTGTGGGAAAAGGGAAACTTGATTGGAAGACCAAGAGTTTAATCTCAAGGCAGTTTGAAAGGAAATATTAAAAATGGTGCTCAATACATCACTGGGAAGATGAAATTGTGTTTCAGGTACCAGAGAAACTGTAGCCCTTGAAAAGTAAGAAAATGTCCTTCAAAGTACTTTTTATGTTGTATAAAACTCGGGGGAAGGGAGCTCTGGTGGCCTACTGGGAAAAGACTGCACTGCTATCCCAGAGGTAGGGTGTTCTAATTCACCAGATGCCCTGCTGGAGAAGGAGGGGCAATCTCTTCCTGTACCACTCAGATCCGATTTGACGGTACACACACACAAAGTAATAAAGTAAATTAAAAAAAAAAAACGGGGGTGGGGTTGGGGGGAGGGGTTGTATAACAATGAAAGTGGTTTTTGTTGGTTTTTGTTTGTTTGTTTTTTTACTTTTCAAAGAGAAGAGTGAACTGGGGGGAAGGGGGGGCAGAGAGAAAAGTGCAATAATGAATGAATGGAAATCCAAAGTCGCTGTAAACGTTCATTAAAACTAATACTAATTTAAAAAAGGGGGGGAACACCCTTCGAGTAGTATGAAGAAGAGAATCATAACTTTTTTGGGCTTTCTTATACTTACTGTGTTAGTTTCCTAGGGCTACTGTAGCAAACAAATTACAGATTGAATGACTAATGGGAACAGAGCTTTATTGTCTCATAGTTCTGAAGAGTGGTGGTGGTGGTGGTGGTGGTGGTGGCGGTTGTTAGGTGCAGTTGAGTTGACCCTTTGAATGGCTGACCTGAAGGTGCCATCCTCTGGGTTTCACGCTTGTTGACTCTTTCTCAGGGCTCTGAGACATTCCATCTCGGGTATCTTTCATGACTCTCTCCAAGCTTTTTGTGATGGTCAACAATCACATATGCTCTTTCTTACTCTGATCTCTGTCTCTGGTGTCACATGGCTGTCTTCCCTCTGTCTCCTCTTTTATAAGAACACAAGTTATATCTGAGTAGGACCATATTACTCTATATTACCTCTCCACCACTGCCAATTTGACTTATAACTTCTAAGACCCTATTTCCAAACAATATCAAGATTCACAGGCACCAGAGGTGAGGATTTTAACATACTTTTTTTAGAAGACACGGTTCAATTTATAACGTTTATTAAGGATTGTATTTTATATTTCACATTACATAGAAGGTTGGGTGATATTTACAAAATCTGTTCACTGATTCAGGCTCAAGAGAGTTCAGTCCATCCCTGGTTAAGAAAGACTGATTTTAAAGATTTTTCAAGCTCAGCTTTGCAAAACACCGTGATTGATTAATGACGTCTGTGACATCTAGGTGAGAGAAGCAATGAGTGGCATCAACCTTGCTCAACATCAGGAAATCAGGCTTAACATTCTTGTTGTTTGCTACATAAAATACTATAATTTCCAGAGGAAGGGTACTTTTACATAAAGGGTACTTTGAGTAACACAGTGATGTATTTCTCAGACTAGATTTAAGGAATTAAAAAATTCTGACTTTTTAACTTTTTACTGTGACTTGAGTGAAAGATTATAGAGCAGATTGGTATTCCATTTAACCATTCATAGTTTGTTTTACAACATTGATTACAGTCCCCACCTGTAACAGCACACTTCCTGTTTCCTCCCTATGATTCACATTTGTTTTTCTCCTCTTATCCTCTCCCTTCCTTCCTTTGGTGCTTTGTCCCTGGACAAATAACTGACTTTTTATCCGGGATCCTCTACTATGATTTCCTTCAGAGCAATCAGCAGTACCATCTAGTTCTTCTCATCTCAGGGTTATTAAGATTGACATTCACTTAGGAACTAATTTCCGTTTGTCTTTGACTTTTCTCTTTGCTTCAGACAAAGGCCAGTAGTTTTTTTTCTTAGATGGCCACTTGCAAGCTTCTAAGATACCAGTTCCTATTCACCAAAGTTGGGTAAAGAACGCTAATTCTATGGGCTGTGCTGTGCTAGTCGTCCTTGATGTCCCTAACACAATGGTCTTGAGGCCTCATGATTAGCAACTACGTCCCTTGTGTGTTTGGTTATAGTTAAGAAATTTACGTAAATGTCTGTTGGCTCTACCACATCCTTTATTGTATTTCCAGCACATAGAAATATGCATGTGGCAACACTGTCTGCCAAACCTATGTTTGGCCGTAAGCTTCATTCCTCTATTTCCATAGTGTTCACTCATCCATATATGTTTGTCTTACCTGCTTGCCACATATTCATTTGTAGATTAATGTTTCTTATTCCTAACAATATGAGATTATGCATATAATATTTACCTTTGTTTTCATAACACTTGTGCCCTTCTCCATGCCTTCCCTTTATAGCAACAGTCTTGTATAGGAAAAAAACAACACAACTCAGAAAACCCGTAGTTAGCTAGTAATATCCTGTGTGGTAGCTATTTGGGGGCTTAACTTGGTACAAAAAGTGAAGTAAATAACAGAGAAAATTATGCATAGCATCTCCAAGGCTTAGGGAACTATTTCCCTAGCCTGTCGGCCATGCAAAGCTAATATGTCTCCATAGAAAGCACCTAGATGACTTAGTTAAGATTCAGACTTCTGGGCCCTTCAGTAGAAATCTAGAATTGGACCTAAGAATATCTATTATTTCATTTTCCCAAGTAATCCTGGTGAAAACAGGTATTTGGGAACACCACCTTAAAACACCTACTTTCCTTAAATATAACTTTTCTCATTCAAGCTTTTGAGGACAGGATGTAGAAAGAAGTCAGCGCAAGAACTCTTCACATTGATAAATCCATTTTTGTCTGTCTGGGGTGGCCCATTGGGAAATTCTTTCTCTTTGAAAGTAACTACAGTTATCTTAGGAGATCACAGGGTGTCAAAGACAGGCATCCCCAGGTATGTACATGTGACCTTATGGAAGATCGTGACTATTTGACAGTGACTGACATTAATGTGGAAAAGAAACTGAAGAAAATTCGAGCCAAGACCCAGAAGCATCTAGATTTATATGCAAGAGATGGCCTGCGAACACTGTGCATCGCCAAGAAGGTAGGTACAGATTCCTCTGCCAGTGTATTGACTAGCATCAAGTACCTTCTTCTGTCAAGTACCCCTACTTCTGTCTTGCCTTTGTCTCTCAGATACACCATCAGTATCAACTAAGGAGTTCTAATGATGTCATGTGCTAAGTGTTCCCCTGCCAACCAAAAGGTCAGCGGGTCAAATCCGCCAACTGTTCCACAGGAGAAAGGTGGGCAATCTCCTCCTGTAAGAATGTATGGTCTCAAAAACTGAATGGAGGATTGCCTCAAGTAGATCTTAAGTCAAAAGCAGTGGGTTTTTTATGTTGATGGTTGTAATATTTTCAAGATTAGCTATCCTGAGTTCTCAAAGATACCACAGCTTCAATAACTTTTCTATGGCAGAAATCTTAATGGTGATGTTTCAAAGTAGTGTGATAATGCCTTTTTCTGCTTCTTATTATATGTGTGCTACTCAAAACTCATTCATTGCCCCTGAGTCAGAACTCACACATAGCTGAAACTCCAGTAAGTTTTCAGTGGCTACAAATGGGAGGTCATTGCTGCTGATACATTCAAATCACCAAAAAGGTGTCATTTTTGTGTTAGCAGCACAATCTTCAGCAGACTATGCCCCCAAAGCTCCCTACATATATAATAGGTAATACATAAATCATAGCTTATTTTGTTGTAGTATTGTTTTCAAGTGTCCTTCTGAAAACTATATTATTTACCTAGATTGAAAAATTGGTGGACACAATGTGATCATATAAAAAAAAAATCCAAATTTCTGGTTTCTGTTGGAAATTTGAAAGATCTGAAAAACCAGAGCCCCAATTCTTACATAACAACAATCCCCTGGAAGCATGTAACAGCTGAAACACCATGAAGACTTCACTTTGTTGTGTTCTGCAGTTACCGTCTTCATCACAGCCTATTGCCCTGTCCTGTTATGATTATATAGATTGTCCATCTCATGCCCTGCAGATAAGGCACATATGCATAAAAGACTATTAACAACAAGCCAAGAACATCCAATGAGGCACCTAAAATCTAGTAAGGAATTCTGGATTGGCACACATTTTTAGATGATAGAAATGTCATCTCGAAAATCTCAAAGGCTCTTCAGCTCTACTACAGTACTTAGTGCAGCTTCAAGTTTAGTGTTTATACTCACCACGGTACAAATCCAAGTCTCATCACTTAGTCGATATGTGGCTACAGGCAAATTTGCTCACCACTCTGAGTTTTGGGTTTTCTAATCCCTGAAATACTGTTCCTACTCCCTGCCTCATACAATTATTGTAGAGATTAAGTGAGGTAATATATGAACAGTGCCTAATGTTGTGATGAGTGCTCCTTACTCTATAAATTGAAATTATACACTTTCCATCTTCCATTTCCCATTGTAGTAATTTGTATATATTTAACCAACCTTGATAAATTATTAATTCCCCATAGCAAACTCATTACTCATTGCCTTCCAGGCAGAAATTACTCATAACTGATCATTCAGCAAGTTTTGCACAAGAGGAAACTGCCCATCTTTACCTTGAGGAGCCACTGGTGGATTCAAAGTGTCAGAAAGGTGTCATTTTTGGGTTAGCAGCACTACTCCTTGAGGACCACCATAGCCAAAGATCTACCTTTTTGTTCCCTTGTTGCTCCCAATCAACTGAGGGAGATACAATCTGTTATTCTGATGACCAAACAATATGAACATTCTTGGTATGAGGGTGTGTTTAGATCAAGTCTCAGGAGGGAGGTTGCTCCCGACTAACTTAATTACTGAGGATGAAAAATCTGAGGTTGACAGGTAAGGCAGTAGCCTGCTGGCTTCAGAAGCCAATGAATCAAAGATCAGCAGAAAGACTGGTTCAAGTGCAAATAACCAGATACAAGATCCAAACTAAGCAAAAATCAGAAAGCTTTGCCAAAATCTATCGTATTAGATGTAGGCCATATCCCCAAATAAACTCCCTTTCAATGGCTTGGCCTCTCATAGCAGTTCTCATCAAGGAAGTGATATATCACTGTGTAAGGGCACATCAAATAAGTTAGAACCACATTAGACCTCATCAAGGGAGTAATTTTATCAGATCTCATAAAGGGAATGATGATCAAACCAAAGAATCAGACTTAGGCAGCCAAACTGGCAGGAACCCTAACCACCACAGAGAGACAATATGCATAGCATGGTATTAGAGAGGTCTGAAATTTCTATGGAACATCAAAGAGAGGAAGCTGTGGCCTGTAGGTGGGTTCTTCCAGTTATTAAACACCTTCACCTGTATGATACCAAGCCAGTAGAATGGTCTTCTAGACTATACATGAGCTGTCTGAAACCTAACCTTCCATTCTTGTTCTTGGCCTTTTTTTCTGCACTTTCTTTTCCCTCTCTCAGTCAGCTGACATGTTCAAGGAACAGAGAAAGAGCCAAGTTCATTGCTGCCCCAAGCCTTTGTGATTGTTCTTTCTCATATCACTTCTTAGAAGAAACCTAGACATCAGAAAGGAAGTAACTCTCCTGAAATTTTTTCTCCACTTTGTCACATTTTATCATAATATTCTTTGTATTTCCTTGGTAATACTCTTTTTAAATTATATACTTAGAGGGAGTTCTGGTGGCCTAGTGGCAAGAAGCTGCGCTGCAATCCCAAAAGCACATAGTTCAAATTCACCAGAAGCTCTGCTGGAGGAGGGGTAATCTCCCCCTGTGCCAATCAGATCCAATTCAACAGTACACACAAGAAAGAAAAAAAAAAGTATATATTTAGATAATGCCTTTGACTTTCTGGCAGAATGTTAAGTATGGGACTACAGGAATCCTGTCTGTCTTCTGGATCACTGATGTTATCCTCAGTGTCCAAATCACAGAAAGGGCTTAGCAGATGTGACTGTAACAGAACACACAGATTAAATCTCCATTGTTTTAAACAGTCTAAAAGAAGCATGGAGGAAAAGGCCATCTGATTATGTAATTAAGCTCAAACACATCTATAGGCAACTCAGCAGAGGAGGAATGGGACTCTGTTTCCTGACCTGACCCCATTGTGATCGAGCCTCTTCCTGTCTATAGGTGGTGAGTGAAGAGGACTTCCAGCGGTGGGCCAATTTCCGGCATGAGGCAGAGGCATCCCTCGATAACCGTGATGAACTTCTAATGGAGACAGCTCAGCATCTGGAGAACAAACTTACCTTGCTCGGTAGTTAAAACTAAGCTATCATTAAATGAAAAAGCGAATCCTGCAAGTTGGAAAGGGAGTTCTTGGCCCTGATTCTGACACTACAGCAAATATGTCTCAATTACAAGGATTCCCCGAGGTGAACTTCTAGATATCTGGCACAAAATGAAGGTGCCAAAACCCAACACAGACTCCACTACAGTTCCCTGAGGAAGCCTGGAAACATTTCTGCACAGCCTGCTGGCAAACACCAGCGAGGCTGGCTCCTTCTCCAACTGTAACTCACCACTCGATTCCTTTAAATGTTTCCTAAACACCTACTCCAGGCCAAGTGAAAATGCTAGGTGTTGAGGCTACAAGAGAGAACAAAAGTCACTTCTTTCTGAGAGTCTAGAGTTTCGTGAGGCTAGTCGGCCACCAAGCAAGGAATTTGAACAGTGTGTATGAGAGGTTGGCTGAAAAGTGTACCAAGTGCAGTGAGAGCCCAAAATAGGAGGCACTAACTTTGCAAGGCGTCTGAGGAAACCAAGGAAGTTCAGAATCTAAAAGGAAAAAGAGGATTTAATCAGGCAAAAGAAGAGAGCACTAGAGGAAAACGCACTAGCAAAGGCCTGCAGAAACTCAAAATAGTCAAGTGTACTGTACCAGATTGTGAGATCATGATGGGAAGTGAGAGAGGTCAGTAAGGTTCAGATAAGAAAGAACCTAAATCATATTCTAACGATTTGAAGAGGAGGAGATGAAGGCAGGGACAAATTTGTGCACCCCAAAATTGCTCTGACTGCTGCTCCATCAATATTGTTGTTGTTGTTAAGTGCTATCGAGTCACCTGCGACTCATAGCGACCCTATAAGGAAGAGTCCTTGATGCTTGGGTGCCTTTCTTCCTCTCTCCAAGGTCATAGGAGACAAGCTATTATGGAAGTGGATGCCACTCCTCCTTCCAACCATCAATACTAGAGTAATAAAAAAAGGGGTGGGGGGGGAATATGCAGCAGAGAATTCAGCTAAGAGACTCTATTTCTGTTGGAGGAAAGTGTTGCCAAGAGGGAAGAGGGAAGTATATTATTTATCAGAATTGTTAAACACCTTAGAAGCAAGATTTCAATATGGCAAAGCCTATACAGCATGTGGTGACCATGTGGCTAAAAGTCTTCTTTCGTGTCAGGAAGCAATGGTGAACTGAGGACAAGGGGTAAATTTTGGCTCTTGTGACCTCACCCAGTATCCAGGGATACATCCTTGCATTCCTCTGAGCCCTTCTGAATAAATGACACCCCTCTTTGATTGACATAGTAGTGGCAATAATGAGAGATTTTGAGACTGGCACAGGTTTGAGCAAGGCCATCCTATTGTCCTGGGAGTCATTATGGTCAGAGCATACTTAACCGGACCTATGACAACAACAAGCTGATCAGGCAGTAGTACAAGGGGGGAAACTCAAGGATACTATAAAAATTATGGTGGTGCTCTTACATTTAAAAGGTAACAAGAAGTTTAGTAGCAGGAAAGCTGATAGTCCCGTTAGCTATCAGCCCAACTCAAAACAACCTTATACATAACAGGCAATGCTGCTCTGTCTTTCACATTCCACATTGGTGTGGATCAGACAATGTTGTGATCTATCTGTTTTTCAGTTAAGAAGACCCCGGATGAGATGGATTGACACAGTAACTGGGACAATGGGCTAGGTGTGTTGGAGTCAGTGAGACTGGCTCAGGATAGGCAGGGTTCAGAGGGTAGTATAGGGTTGCTATTAGTAGTAGCAGGTGACTCAATGACACACAACAATTTCCAGTTTAGATCATTAGGCCTTTCTTCCTTTCTCATTTTAAACTGGAAGCTCCATAGCAGCATCATAGCAGCAGGTAAGTTTCCACCGACTTGTTGGTTGCTGTGCTTAAGGTGCATTAGTCAAGAATCACCAAGTTTTCCCACATGGGAGACACAAATTCTACCACTGAACCCCCAGTGCTTACTTCCTGCCTCATAAAGGTCTCTTTTAAAGTCACAGGAACTTATTTTAACAAGATCTGGAAGCGCTCAGACCAGGCAGCTCTAACCGCCACTGGAGGGCCCAGCACGTATTCCTTTAGGGGTGGCTGGCCTCCTCTGCCCTGTGGAGGAGGCTTTCGTCTCCCCCACAGACCCTGATCTCAGTCAGTGAGAAATGTTCATCAGCTTGTTCTGCATGAAAGAGAACCTGTCAGAACCTGCCGGCTTTCCCTGGCTGGGAGAGGCTTTCACAACCTTCCCATTTCATTTTCTCTTTCACACAAATAAATGTGTTTTTCCTCCTCCCTCCTTCACTCTGCCTCACTTTAATATAAATCAACTTCAGACTCTCACCTTCCAGGCTAACCTTTGTAGGGAAAAATGAGCGTGGAGCTACCACTTTTCATAGGGTTGTTTGCTTTCACGTTTAGACCTGAAATACAAAACAAGCACATCTCTGAAAAGAGAGGCTATTTTTCTTCCCTCAAGGTGGCTTAGTAAGGAGAGGCCTGCGGCTGGGAGGAGACTTTCTCCTGCCACCAAGAAAGTGCCATGCCATTTAAAAAAAAAAACTGCATTGCATTCACTCCAAATCCTTTACTATGAAAATATCTTTTTAATATGCACCCAACAGAACTGCTTTGCCAACCTATTGTCACTCTGCATTATTAAAAGAAATGAAATGCCTTGCTCCTTCCCAGAGTGAAATGAGTAGCTATTAGTCCATGGTCTGAAATGAATCTCAATTTAAATGAAGATTTATTCTTACTTAGTCACTCTTAAACAAGAACACTCAACTCATTGCTCTCAATTCAGAATCAACTAATAGCTGACTCCCAACCCAGCCAGTTCCCAAGGCTGTAGGTCATAAGGGAGGAGATTGACTATCTTTCTCCTGAGAAGCTCCAGTGGATTCAAACTATCAAAGAGTCACTGCCTTTAGCTTGGCAGCTTAACTCCCTACAGACTATGCTACCAGAGCTTACTCACTCAGCTGTGAAATACATAAAAAAAGAGCTGACTTCAACTCATAGGGCACCTGCAGGAGAGCCTAGAATTGCCCTCTCAGGGTTTCAAAGGCACAATCTTGATGGAAACAGTCTGTCTCCTACTTCTCATGCAGAGTGGTTGGCAGGCTCAAACTGTAGCTCTTCAGGGAAGCAGGCGAACCCAGGACCACTAAACCCTCAGGGCTTTCCAGCTTCAGCATATATCCACTAGGACTGGTGCAAAGCTTAATTAAAAAAATAAAATTAAAGAATCTGCATGTTCTATTCCCTTCAAGATTATTCTAAAAATCCGAGAGTGTGTGAATTCAACTGTTCCAGCTCAGGCCACCATCTCCCTGGACTCTGATTCAGCCTGCTAAGTGCTCACCTTGAATCTCATCCTGCTTCTCCCTCCAATCTCCAGCCTGCTTCTAGAATAATCTTCTTAAAACTCAAAACTGATCCTGTCATTCCCAACTTAACACCTTTTAATAGCTTTCTTTGCTACCAAATAAAATCTAAATCCCTTAATACTCTGACAAGACTCTGCATGATCCAGCCCTCGCTTTCCTCTCTGCTTTTCTCTGTCTTTCTTGTCTACCTCTGGGCCTTCACACATGCTGATCCAGCTACCTGGAATTCTCCTCCTCATCTCCCTCTTCGTGTCATAACTCAAGAACTGAAATGATCCTTCTCCAACCGGGTCCTTCCTGACCTTTTGAATGAAGTTCAGGTCTCTTATAGCAGGTTCAGCTAGTTCATGACCTGGACTTATTACGTAGTTCAGTTATAAAACCTTGTTCAGCAAGCCTTCAAGTTTGGACAGAGTAGGGACTAGCTCTGTCTATTGCACTGTGCTCAGCACAGCCGAGCCCTTAGGAGCTATTTTGTACACATTGTCTGATTTGAGAGGCCCAGGAGAAATTAAGCAGCTAGCTACTCTTTGACAGCAAATGTGAGCTCTGATGTCTTTGATCACTCCAGGAGCCACAGGGATCGAAGACCGACTGCAGGAAGGAGTGCCAGATACGATCGCTGCTCTGCGGGAGGCTGGAATCCAGATCTGGGTCTTGACTGGTGATAAGCAGGAAACAGCAATCAATATCGCCTATTCCTGCAGGCTGCTGAATCAGACCGACACAGTTTATACCATTAACACAGAGAGTCAGGTGAGGCCAAACTAGGCAGCAGGTGTCCAAGAATGGAACAGCCCCTGGGTCATCAATAGGCTTATGGGTGGGATTTAGGGTCCCACAGACAGCATCCTCTCCCCAAAGTACCACTGAATATTGGAGCTAAGAGGACCCAGGAAGTCATTAGGTCCAATAACCTTCATCTCAGCCCATAATTCTGGTCCTTTTTTTATTAATTATGTCATCATTCAGTAGAAAGTTCTGCTTCTACTAAACCCAAATTTTCCCCCATTTTACAGATGAGTAAACTAGAATTATAAGAGGCAATTCATTTTGTCAGGGTCAGGCTGTGACTTCTGCTACATAGAACGAAGTGTAGAACTCTGTTTTCTTGCTGGGTCAGTATTCTTTACATTATACCACACACAGAGAACCTCAATTTCCATTTTGTTACTAGCTTGGATATGACTCATTCATTCATTAAAAAAGCCCCAGTAAAACTGAAATGATTCTGAGTTTAAAATTCCATCTCCAAACTGGCCTGCTTCTAAGGAGAACCCTGAAGATGACAGTACCTGAAACCAGTGTGTGCTGATGAAATGGGAGAGAGAAGCCAAATTTTCAAAACTTCCCTTTTTAATTGGAACAGATTGGGAATGGCAGAGATCAAAATTTTAATAAAGGACTGGTTAAAGTCTGAGGAGGAATATTTAAAATTATTATTAAAAGAAGATGTTGTATTTAGGAAGGAAAACCAACCTTCAGAATATATGCTGCAGAGAAGTGACACCATCTTCTCGACTGATGAGCATGGGAAGTGAGCATTGTGATATACGCTCCTACACTTAAGCACTTGATTATAGGTGGGCAAGTTAGTGGTTCAAGCTCACCTAAAGACACCTTGAAAGACAGGCTGAGCAGTCTACTTCCCAAAGGTCATATCCTTGAAAACTCTGTGGAGTAATTCTACTCTGCAAATATGGAGTGCTGTGACTTGGACTTGCCTCACTGGCAGCTAACAACATCGAAAGGGAGCAGGGATTAGTTGAGAGTAGAGCAGAGAAGAAAATCAGCAAGGAAAGCACTATGTCATAGGGGTTGAAGCAGGTACCTCTGTTATACTATGGGGCTGTTACACTATGTGGAAAGGACGGAGTAAAAAACAGAAAAGATGGCAGGCCGGACAGCAGGCTATATATGCACCAAGAAGACAATCCTTTTTCTTTTGCTTAATTTGCCTGAGATCCAGAATAGAAACTCAGGGAAGATTATATTGGTTTTTATTCCATGAATCAAGTACATAGAAACATTTTAAAAATAAGAATAAGGAAGTTTACCTTATGAAAATGTTTGACGCCCTTTAGATGAATTGAAAATATCATCTCCTCCCTTGTCAGGTGCGTAGGTCATACCATGATAAAATTAAACCCCAATGAATTTCCAGCTGCAAGGAATCTGAGAGAGATCTTTGGCTTTATTCTCATGCTTAGGAAAGAAAGTCATTGGCAGCTTGCTTGTGTGCTTGATCCCTGTAAATGGTGTTACTTTCTGCTTACGGCACGTGAAATGGAAATGTGGTCTGGGGCGTTCATTTCTTTTTTTTATTAAGTTTTATTAATTTTAATGAACATTTACAGAGATTTGGGGTTTCCATTCATTCATTGTTGCACTATTTTCTCTACCCTCCTCCCCAGTTCGTTCCTTTTTCCCCCCTTGAAAGTCTGTTTTAATTGTCCCCTTGCTACAGTGCTTGTCAAAGCCAGTTTTGATTAATCTCCTTTGTCAGTGTGTCCTTTGCCATTCCCTATCACTCCTCCCTGAGAGAGACTTCACCCTGA